GTGGGAAAGGGTAGATATGGATATGATGACCACGCGATAACATCACGTGTAGCCCCTCACTGAGGAGTGATTACCGGATGTTGTGTGGGGTGATCCATATTATTTATAAACCTAGGACCCCCCCTCCCTTTGTTTCTTTGTTTCTTTGCTTCTTCTCCAATTTCAAACTATTTCTTTAAGAAAAATCAGCTTTCTTTTGGTTCTTTCTAACGTTGTTTATTTGTAACCATTATGTGAAAATCCCCTCTTACTTGAAGTCTTTATTTGCCTATGTGTTATTTGCGCTTAAGTTCACAACAATAGTTTGGCCGGGAACCACACTAGTGGATCCTGAGGGGTGCCTAACACCTTCCCCTTGGGATAATTTCAAGCCCTTACCCAATCTCTGGTTATTCAAATCAAACCCTTCTTAGTATCCTAATGCACTTTAATCATTAGGTGGCGACTCTTCAAATCAAACTCAATTCCCCAAAAGGGAACGAGTTGTCCTCCCAAATGTCATAAACCCAATTTCGCGAGAAAAAGGGGGCGCGACAGCCTTAAGTTAGAAGAATCGACTAAGATTGGATTTCAGATTAAACGACCGCGGAATCGGGATCTGAAGGTTCCAGCAGGTTCGTATGGTGATTTCAGACTTGGGCGTATGTCCGGATCGGGTTTTGGAAAACCTGGGAACGTTTTGGCGCCTATTGTGGATGATTACTCCGGGTATGATGGTTGTTCTTATGTGTTATGAGAAAAAAAGGGGAGTTATTATGGACCTTTGAAAGGTTATTAGCCTAGTTCAGTGCGATCAAAATCAGCTTGAGGCCTGTGGATGGATTCAAATGTGAATATGGGCTCTATATCAGGCTAGATGTGTTCATTTCAGTAATGCGCTCCTTATGAAAGAGTAGTCAGGGTGTTATTTCGTCGTCAGTTATTTCATGCAATGATATATTGCGCCGTGTGAGTTGTGAGACGGCTTGGTGAATTGCTTATGTGTTGAGGTTCCACGTAGAGATGATGTTATATGAGCAAAATGGCTCTTGAGATTCAGATCGTATATCGCACCTCAGTTGTGCTTGAGTTTTGTAGCTCATAGCGCTATATGTCCCCTCAGGGATGGTATTATGCACTTAGCGTGCTTGTGACCGATATTCGGTATTTTGTTGTAATGAGAAATTTAGCTCGATGTGCATCATCTCTACGCGGAACCTCAACACATAAGCAATTCACCAAGCCGTCTCACAACTCACACGGTGCAATACATCATTGCATGCAATAACTAACGACGAAGTAACACTCTGACTACTCTTCCATAAGGAGCGCATTACTGAAATGAACACATCTAGCCTGATATAGAGCCCATATTCACATTTGAATCCATCCACAGGCCTCAAGCTGATTCTGATCGCACTGAACTAGGCTAATAACCTTTCAAAGGTCCATAATAACTCCCTTTTTTTCATAACACATAAGAACAACCATCATACCCGGAGTAATCATCCACAATAGGCGCCAAAATGTTTCCGGGTTTTCTAAAACCCGATCCGGACATACGCCCAAGTCCGAAATCACCATTCAAACCTACTGGAACCTTTAGATCCCGATTCCGAGGTCGTTTACTCTGAAATCCAATCTTAGTCGATTCTTCCAACTTAAGGCTTCTAAAATGAGAATTTTCTTTCCAATTTGACTCCGAACTTCCCGGAATTCAACTCCGACCATGCCTACGAGTCATAACACCTGAAATGAAGCTGCTCATGACTTCAAACCGCTGAACGACGCGCTAGAGCTCAAAACGACCGGTCGGGTCGTTACAAATTGTGTAGTCCATGTTATTGCATTTGAGTCTAGAACTTTCCTGCCATGTGAGTTGAAGTAAAATTTTAGGTAATGCTCGGTTTAAAAAATAATTTTAGGCTTTCTTTGATCTTTTTGAGCTTAATGCTTACCACAAATAAAATTATTCCTAGTCAACCCTTTTGAGCCCATAGATTTTTATTTCTTAACCACATTACAAGCTTATACCCCTTTATTGTTAATTGTCATTATTTTGATCCTTTTACCTCTTAAAGCACTTTAATTGTAAAATGAGCGCTAGAAGAAGTAAGGAGGGAACTTAGGTCGCTTTTGAGTGGAACCAATAAAAAAGAAATGGTGCATGTGTTTTGTAAAGGAATACACAACTAGCGGGTAAAGAAAAGAAAAATTGCAAAAGAAAAAAATATATAGTTGAGAAAAAAAGAAGAAAAAAAAATAATGTAGATGAATAAATTGATATATTGTCCTTGCTAGTAGGTGTGAGGTAAAGTGTGCTTAACGAAAAAAAGGGGAACTCTTGGGATGATATCGTTTGTGAAATCGAAGTTGTGATGGAAGAATTTGCGCTTAAAGAAATATGTGATGTGTTAAAGTGCTTAGGAGGATTAGTCACTATTTTTTCAAAAATATATCCTACTCGACGTAGCCCACATTACAATCATGAAAAAGTCCTAATCAAGAGAGTCAACATTAGTTGAAGTTTACATAAAGGTCAAGCCTATGGTACTTTGTGCATGCATGAGACGTCTTTGTGGGAGTGAGGAATTTCTTTGATATATATGAGTCTTTAAAATATATTTGAGAATTGATTCAAATGTGTGGATTCAACTTACGCTTTTGTTCTTGTTGTGAGGGCACATTATTCTACGAGGTATAGGTGCTGTTATTAGATTTCTGTATGATATTCAAGCCATGAATGCATTTGATATTGAGTCGGTTTGTGAGGCTAGGATTGTTATAAGCATGTTGTCTTGATGTTGAATAAAATTTTGAAGTATGGCATAAAGTAAAGGAAAGTGTGTGTTGAAGGCATATGCTAAAGTTTAATTGTTTCCATCAAACATAGTCATAGGTATGGTGTGCTTCGGATGTGCTAAAAGAAAATAAAGTGCTCTAGGCTAGTGTGAATTGGTGGTTGACTCGAAGACGAGCAACGTCTAAGGTTGGGGTGGTGATGTTTGGCCAAAATGCTATACTTTTAGTGTATTACTCGCCCTATATTTTGTTGGTTTAGTAGTTAATATGCGACCTTTGAGCTAAATTATGTTGTTTTATGTGTAAGAGCATTGGAAAAAAGAGTCGAATGAATGTTGCACGAAAAAGGGGCGAAAATGCAAGAAAAGAGCACAAAAATACAAAGCACCCAAGGACCTCGATCCTAACATATAAATACTCCCTAAACGAGTTGAGAAAGGGCTGGACATTATTTGGAGAAGAAAAAGGCTACAGAGCATTGTGGAGGGAATCATGCGAGTTTTTCCTCTGTTTCTCTTTACTTTGTAGTTTAATGTCTTTGAACATCATGATGATTGTTTATACATTTATGAGTAGCTAAACTCTCTCATCTAGGGTTTGATAGAACCTACTGAAGGATGATTTTCCACTGCGTTTAATAATAATTTATCATTGATCTTTCTCTACTTGTTCAACTATGTCTCCGTTGTTGTTGATTGAATAGCTCTCAGTTAATTATGCATATTTAGTGTGTACTGCTTAAGAGAGAGTACACTTTTAGGTAGTCGTTGAATAACATCACTCTTAACGTATTTGAGAAATCAATACGGAGGATTTAAATGCGGGATTAGAAATAACGAAACCTTGGCGAGATCGTAGTGAGCGATGAATTAGTACCAGCTAGCATAGTTCAAGAGAATACATCTAGTAAATTGTTGTAGTTTCTCGAGAAAGAACAATGAACCCAAAGTACTCGTGATCGGTAGAGAATACTTAGGCGAATTTATAGAGAACGTTGCGGAAGAGATTCCGACAATTGGGAAAATCATAACCCTAGACTTTTTCAAATCTTGTCTACAACATTTGCTCTGTTAGTTATTATTACTTCATTTTAATTAATGTGCTCTTAGTTAGTAAACACTCAAGTCGTTATTCAATATTTTTGAAGGTTGATTACTTGAATTCTTCTGAAACTAGTGGTTGTGATTAATAGGTTAACTCCTTGTGGGATTCAACTCCAGACTTGTGAACCTGATTATATTTGCAACGACCGCTAGACCTCTTAGGAGGCATAGTTGGGCGTGATCACTGATCAACATGGGAAGCTTCAAAAGGGGAAACGAGGCTCAAATATGTCACGCCCACATCTCTCTACTCCGATGTCGTATTGACAAACAATTTAATGCGTTAGAAAATAGACTCATAAATCTTCAATTTGATGGGTATCCCATAACTCTAAGTATATTGGGAGAAAATCTGAGTTACATTTGACCCGAAGTTTCAGTAAAACTTATGAACGTAACTTGTGATGACTTTCATCGACTTTTGTTCCACAACTCGCTTGACTTCAAAACACACGACTATCATACGACTAACATAACTCATAACACAACCTCCTTATCATGTTAAAAATCCTAGTCTTACCCCAAAGGTACGGGTTATAACATTCCCAACTTGTCGACTTTCGACGAAACATTATTTTCTTCAGTTCCTTTAGCTGCTGAACCTTCCAACCCTCATTGTACTTGTTGTTCATTATCTTTAATATTTGTAACCTCCGAGTTAACATGATTAACTTACTTTATATACTTTCAAATATTATCTCATTTTTGGTCCTACATTAGTTTGCTTACGACACACTTTTACGTACAAAAATAAAGGGTATAACAAAATACACAATCGATCGGACCGTTACACGTGCGGAAGGCAGATGCCAGATGGAGGAATGACAATGCAAGGACGGAGAACGGAGAACGGAGAAGAAAGGAGCTTTTATTTTGAAGGTTAATTTTGGAATTATAAAAATTATTAAGGGATAGGAAAAGAACTCTTCTGAACTTGCCAAACACCAAAACAAGCTAAAAGGGGACTTATACGTCCATTTGCTGTGCCGTTATTATCCGGAACTTGTGGAGGAGACCAACTACCTCCAAAAATCTTTTCCAAAATAATTTCCCAGCAAATTGACTGACCAAAATATCAAAGTCATCACTTACTGATTTGTCAAATTTTTTCTCTCCTCATTTTAGTACCCACAAAGAGCATTATCCCAGATCAGTCTTCCCCTTTGCAGTCAAGTCAGCAATGGCGCAGCCGGTGATTTTCTGCCGTGAAATATCTGCATCGCTGGCGAACTGCACATCCTATTCACCATTCCATCAAGTGGATGGTCAAAGTAGTGTACCCTTCGCAGCTTCTTGTTTAAGGGTACCCAAAAATTGTTCACTAGTAGCTGCTAGATGCTCCTTGAAGCCATCTATGATGCCTTCAGCATTGGTCACTTCTAGGCCCCAACAAGTGTCCACAGATCCTGTTAATGTTGTTTGTGACGGAAAAATTGGTGTTTTGTTGCTTAATCTTGGTGGCCCTGAATCTCTTGAAGATGTGCAGCCATTTTTATTCAATCTTTTCGCTGATCCTGTAAGTTATATGTCTGTTTCTTGGACGCTATTGTGTTTCACTCTTTTGTTTGATGGTTTTTAACTTGGATTGTTTGGTTTGAATAGGATATTATTCGATTACCAAGGCTGTTTCGGTTTTTGCAAAGGCCGCTTGCGCAATTCATTTCTGTTGCTAGAGCACCTAAGAGCAAAGAAGGTTATGCTTCAATTGGTGGTGGCTCTCCTCTTCGACGGATAACTGAGGCTCAGGCATGAATTTATATGGTTTGATAATTATACATGATTGCTGATTAATGGGTAAGTTTCTAAGAACTAGGAATAAGTGAAGAAGAAATGTTGGTCCAACGACGGCTAAAAGAAGAATGGATGGTATTTTACGTGTGCTTATGGTAGGGGATCTCTAGATTTTCTTTGTTAAGTGAGAGATGTTTTACCATAGTGGTGAAATTTTTTGGACCATGCTGAATTCCAGTGATTTATAGTGGAAACACTTGCTAAAGCTATTTTTAGTATGATTTGTACCACTTATTTTCTACCGAGAGATCTCTTTTACTGTTTGCTGCTGTTTACTGTGGTGGATTTGTATATGAGCATTACAATGTTTTTGTGCATTTTTTTCCGTGGCTCCTCTATTCAATTCTGCCTGTTTAATAATATTTTTATTTTTAGGCTGAAGCCTTGAGAAAAGCACTGTGGGAAAGGAATGTGCCTGTAAAGGTGTATGTTGGTATGCGCTACTGGCATCCATTCACGGAGGAAGCCATTGAGCTGGTATTGTTTCTTCCATTTTCTTTTGTAAACTTTTCCTTTTCCGTTTGTGGTTGTTTATGTGTTTTATGGTTTGAAGCAGTTAGTACGAGCCAGGTTCAGGCTGGATTACACTACTGCAGAATCATATCACATAATTGGGGCTAGACGATAGAGTGATGGTGATCAAATTTACTACAGCTATATCGAAGAAATAATAATTTAACAGCTAACTAATAAGCTGGTATTAGCCAGGCATGCATTCATGATTAAGTATAAAAAAAGAAATCTAAAACAAATTTTTTTACCGGAGCATACGTGGTACTGAGAAGTGGGAATGGCACAGAAGTGGAAAGGGATAGTGGAGAGGAGTAATATGGCTGGGAGAAGAGGCTTTTATCTTTCGAGAAGGGATTAGACCAGTTAGCCTTATCTCTCTATCTTGCTGTGTAACAGTCCTAAATTGAAGCTAAGCCGAGTGGGGAAGCTACTTAGACCCATTTGCTTTTGTTAAGATAAAGATAATTTGGATCTAGTTACATATTGATTATTTACATATTGTGTCTAATCTGGATACTGTATAATTATGATTGTTTTTTTCCGGCGTCTGAATGTGTGCTTATTATCTTTATTCAAAAATTAATTAATAGAGAATTTAAAAACAATAATCATAGTTAAATGTTATATCAACAAAATATTAGAGAAACTTTTGATTGATATGGTGTTGTAGAAACTATTTGTTTGATGAAGCACACGCTAAATGTTAGTTGTGGTTGTCTTCAACCATGAAAATTTTGAGGTGGTGGCTAGTGGTGGTTTTCCTTGGTGCAGGTGACTAGCCGTGGTGTTTTTGCAGCGATCGTATCGTAGTTGCTAGTGGTGGTTGGCAGTGGAGGCTGGCAGTTGGTGATGTGGTATAAGTGATTGGTGGGGAAGGCTAGCAGTGGAGGTGGTTTGTTGTGGTAGCTAGCGGTTGAGGTGGTTGGTCGTGGTAGTTGGCGGTGGAGGTGGTTGGTCGTGGTGGTGAGGTGGCTGATGGTGGAGGTGGTTGGTCGTGGTAGCTAGGAATGGAGGTTGGGTGGATGGGGGTGGAGGTAGTTGGCGGTGCGGTGGCTAGTGGTAGACGTTATTGGTGGTAATGACACACGATGGTGGTGGTTGTTGGTGGTAGTTGTGCAGTATAGCTTGGGGATGAAGGTGGCTAGTGGTACATGTGGTCAACGATGGTGTTTTTTTGCAGTGGTGGCTGATTGTAGAAGTGATTGTGGTAGTGGTTGTTCAAAGGCCAGTTGGTAGTGGGCAGCTGTTGATGGAGGTGGTTGGCCGTGGTATCTTGCGATGGAGGTGGTTGTCGGTGGTGGCTGATGGTGGATGTGGTTGGTCATGGTAGCCGACAGTGAAGGTTGGGTGGATGGTGGTGGAGGTAGTTGGTAGTGCTGTGGCTAGTGGTAGCGTGGTTGGTGGTGATGACCGGCAATTGTGGTGGTTGTTGTACGATGTATCTTGGGGGTGAAGGCGCGACGGTACAAGTAGTTGGCAATAGTGGTTGTGCGTTGGTGGCTGACCATAGAAGTGGTTGGTGGTGGTGGTTGTAATGGATAAGTGTAGTTAGAAAACCTTTACATGACTCTGTAAGTAAGCAAAGTCTTAATGATTTTAAAACTATGTACAACAGCACAAGATCTGAATGATTTAGCTTTATTAAGAGCAATTACGTGGTTATAGAAGGGAAGAAATGGATTGAGATTTGAATGATTAGATTTAGACCTCCATTAAGTAGAAACAAAAAGGGACTTTTAGTCCCGGTCTAATTAGACTATGAATAAGGAATCAACCTAAGGACAATTTACTTCTTTTTATCCTGTTTGTTGTTGCAAAGTAAACAACTTTTGGGAATTGTAGGTTATCTTCATGCAGGTTAATCTATGCCTTGCGGAAAATGTTAATTTTATTTAGACTTTAATAGGTGAAGAGTAATATGTAGGAGTTAGTAAAGTTACACTATATTTTTCTTTTGAATATTCTCCTATTCAACCTGAGCATTATATAAAGTGGGCAAAATAATAAAATCACCCTTTTTTTTATGAGATAAGTTGCTTCTTTGCAAGCATCAAGAAGATGCAAAAGTTACAAGAAGGATCAATGTTAGCTCCATTACAATATAACAAAAACCTGCCCAGGAGCTAACAAAAAGAATCAAAAGTAGAAAGGGGCTAACTTAGAGTAAGTGAGCCAATGAAGTCTAGAAGGGGAATAACATTATTTACAGGGCCTAGAATACTCCAACTAAACAGATACACAAGACATTTGGCTTTAAGAGCATGTATTGGAGTTGAAATGCCATCAAAACATCTGCCATTCCTTTCTTGCCAAAGACACCAAAAAATGCATGCTGGGATCATCTTCCAGACTTTCTTGATGGCTCTGTCAACTTTCCATCTGCTCCATCCGTCTACTGCCTCCTTAATGCCCTGAGGTTGTGTCTAGCTAAGCCCCAAGATTGCTAGAAACATATTCCACATATTTGCTGCCATTGGACAATGCAAAAAAAGGTGGTTGACTGACTCAGANATAACCTTTGTGGGAAGCTTTGTCCTCCAAATGAGCTTCCACGGCCAAGAGTCTATGATTCCATTCTGTTCGCACATATGCCTATAGCCTGCCTTAACTGTACAGGAATCTGCACTACCTCTTCCCCATATGAGCTTGTCTGGAATCTGATCATTTACAGTGAGGTTTCCCAGTCTTTCCAACAACACAAAAAAATTGTCCAACTCCCAGTCATGCATGTTTCTTCTAAAGAGAGGGGCCCATGCGTTTTCTGATCTATATTCCCTAACTGTAGAATTGGGATCATTGGCTATCTGAAATAGTAGAGGGAAGCTCTCCTTCAGTGGGCAATTTCCTAACCAAATATCCTTCCAGAATCTAACATGAGAACCATTCCCAACCTTGAAAGAGACATTCTGTGAAAAATCATCCCAAAGGCTACTAATGTGTTTCCATAACCCCACTCCATGAGGGGCTTTGCTTAGATTAGTACACCAATGGCTTTGTTGTCCATGTTTGGCTATCACCACCTTCTTCCACAGGCTGGTATCCTCCTCCCCAAGTTTTCCTAGCCATTTCATTAGCATGCTCTTGTTGTGTTTTGCCAAATCTTTGATACCAAGTCCACCAAGGTCTTTGAGTTGAGTTACTTTGGACCACTTGACAAGGTGGAACTTATGCCCCTCACTATTCCCTTTCCAAAGAAAGGTCCTCCTGAGCTTGTCCAGCTGCTTTAGCACCTTACTAGGCATAGGGTAAAGTGACATATAATAGGTTGGAATGCTATCCATAACACTGCTAATCAAGGTTAGCCTGCCACCCATAGAGAGATATTGTAGTTGCCATGTTGCCAATCTCTTCTCCACCTTTTCTATCACTCCATTCCACACTGCAGTAGACTTATACTTTGCTCCCAATGGTAATCCTAGATATGTGGTTGGGAAAGAGCCAGTAGCACAACATAGAACATCAGCTAGCTCCTCTATGTTAGAAACTTCATTAACAGGATAAATCATACTCTTAGACATGTTGTTGTGAAGTCCTGAAACAACTTCAAAAATGAGCAGGGTGAGATTAAGATATCGGACCTGAGTTTTTTCAGCACCACTGAAGATTAGTGTGTCATCCGCATAAAGCAAGTGTGAAACTGTAAGTTCACTTTCTAGGGACCTTCCAACACTGAAACCGTCAAACCATTGTAACTGCCTTGCTTTGTCAAGCATCTTGCTGAGACCTTCCATAGCGATAATAAAAAGAAAAGGGGATAAGGGATCTCCTTGCCTTAGTCCCTTTTGCGGAGAGAAGAAGCCAACTTGATTCCTATTGATTAGAATTGAATACTTGACTATTGTCAGACTATATTTGATCCATCTAACCACCTGCTACCAAAAACCATTTTCCTTAGCATTGAGAACATGTAGGACCAATTAACTTGGTCGAAAGCTTTCTCAATGTCCAGTTTGCATATGATACCCGGGATTCCACTCTTCAACCTCTCATCCAACACCTCATTAGCCATCAAAACAGCATCGGTGATTTGCCTTTGTTTGATAAAAGCATTTTGGTTTCCTGAAATAAGCTTCCCAATCACAGATTTGAGCCTCTCAGCTAAAAACTTAGCTGCTATCTTGTAATACTACCTATGAGACTTAGGGCCTGAAATCTTTAAGTTCAATAGCACCCTTCCTTTTTTGGCACTAAAGCTATAAACGAGGCATGCAAGACCGGACCATGTAGCAGTTTTGGTGAAAGTGGTTTAAAGCTCCCATGATATCATACTTGAGTATATTCCAGGTTTTCTGAAAAAACGCCATAGTATAACCATCTGGCTCTGGGGATTTATCTGGTGCACATGCCCTGATTACTGCAAGCACTTCCTCTTCTTCAAATGCTCTTTCTAGCCAATCTTTCTCCTCTGTAGTGATACATGCTAGATTATCGAAGTCCGTAGTGGGTCTCCGTTGCATTTCTTCGGTGTACGGCCCCTAATAAAAGTTCAGAATTTCCTCTTTGATCGTCTCTTTGTCATCTGTGACTTCATCTCCAATCTTCAACTTGTCTATACAATTTGACCTTCTGTGAGAATTGGCCATTCTTTGGAAATACTTGGTGTTTCTATCTCTTTCTTTGAGCCATAGACACCTAGATTTTTGTCTCCATGATATCTCTTCCTCTTTTGCTATTTGCTGTATCTCCATTTTGATTCTCAACATTTTCTCCTTTTCAGCCTGAGATAGAAGTCTGCCTTCAGTTAATTGCTCTAACATGGACAGCTCTTCCAGGGCCTTATTTTTCTTTGCTTCCAACTTGCCAAATTCCACTCTATTCCAGTCAACTATATCCCTCTTTAGGCATCTTAGTTTTTGCATTCCTTTCCAAGATCTTTTACATGTCTGTAATCACGAGTATGTCAATTGCTTCAAAACAAAAGAAGTTAAAGAGATGACGGGTGCAAAATGACGGTGGGTTTTCTTAATCGATTGGAATCATGATGGAGTAAATGACTTCTCACGATACACATATTTTCATGGTTGAGAATGGAAATTTTAAGTTTTCGAATGTGGGCGAAAGTTTGTTTAAACGGAGAAGGGCCTAAAATGCTCCTGAACTATGAGATTTGGTATAATATTACACTCCGTCCACTTATCGGGCTAAAAACGCCCCCCGTCGTTAACCTTTCGGCTCAAGTTTGCCCTTATTTCTAACGGTCCACTTATAGTTGGGGGTATTTTTAGCGCGATAGGTAGATGGAGGACAATAGTATTCCTAAATTTTGTAGTCCAGGGGCGTTTTAGGCCCTTCTGTGTATTTTTTAAAATTTATAAATTTCAACTAAATATGCATTTCCCCTGATATTTGCATTGCTCCATTAAACTTTTTCCGCAGGAAAACATGATGTTGAAGAGTATATATACGTAAATGTTTCTCTTATTTTTGTAATACCAGTTTCTCTCCAATTAAGGTCCATAAACCTATCGGTTTCTACAAGATGAAATAAATCAATATTTATTTAACTATAGTTGCAAAAAATTCAATTAACATCGTAATAAAATGATTAAAAAAATACACTTAAGAGAACTAATTAGGAGGAGAAGTGAGACAATACTTTTCATATACTTATCCTCCATGAAAGTCTTTCCTCTTTGGTTCTAGAGGGTTGTTAATCCCTTGTACCTGATGAGTTTACGTGCATTTGTCCATGTTATTTACGTCACTCCATGTCTATCACCACATGCAAATTAAAGAAAATGAAGAGATCAATGGGAGGAAATTATTATGAACAATAAAATTTAATAAATTCCAAAAATATTTTAAATGATTGATGAAAGAAAAAAAAAAGCTAAACGCTACTGATCCAACTATGCCTTATAAAAAGGACTAAACGGTCGCTGCAAATATAATTCGTTGTAAGAGTTCGAAGTCGAATCTCGCAGAGAACTAGGTTTAGCTATAACTCTTCAATATCACTAAGAAGACAAGTTCGAACAAATTTTTGATTCATAAAGATTAAGATTTTTATTTCTAACTAATTAACTAACAAATATTAAAGCAGTAAAATTATCAACTAAAGATACTAATGGTCGGAGACAAGATTGGAAAAGCCTAGAGTGATTTGAGAAAGTGGGGACGTGTAATGTTAAGATGGGGTTGCATGTGAAAGAAAGGCGGGGAAGAGACTAATACTCTGATCCTTTATTGTGAGTTTGCAACTGAATTATGGCACTTTGTCTATTGTCTGGTTAACAGCTTGCCTACAGTGGCTGAGAGCTGGAAACCTAGCAACGTGAAGGTTGAACAATGTTGGGTAGACAGAGGAAAGATGTTGGGGAGCTAGCACCCATGTGTTTAATATTTGATGATTGGGAGAGGGAATGTCATAATCTCGAAGAAGCTACAAAACCAATGTCAAGATCAGGAGCTCTCTTTTATTTAGTTATATATTTGATGTAACTAAATATTCTATTTTGTATTGTTAGTTTAATAGATTTTCTTGATATTCATAGCAAAAAAAACTCTGTTACTTTTGGCACTATCTTGGTGGTCATCAATGAGATGGTTTCTTATTTATTAAAAATCAAAAAATAAAAGCAAAACTATGATTGACAAATAACGGGCTCTATAATTGGAAAATGTTGTCTCAATACTAAAGTATGATCTTTGAAACATTAGACTAAATGTAGGTTGTCAAGTCATGTCCCAGGAATTCCCTTTAGTGATTGTCTGCTACTGGAAGACTTGGTAGATGAATATAGGTTGCTGGCTCACACAGACAAAAGGTGACAATGAGGTTGCAGGTCCTTGAAATAAAGGCAGATCAAATCAAGTTAAATGCATCCAATAAAGCATTTTAACAGATACTATATACTGGGACCTTGGGAAAATCTCTTGAAATGAGAGGAACAAAAAAGAAAACTTGCCTATAGTTCATAAATTTATGTTGGCAGGTCGCAGACAGAAACTAAAGTACTTTACTAGTTTAAGTGTCAGACAAATGAAACTTACAGGACAACTAAGGAGCAGACAATACCTTTATGTTGTAATTTTTTGCTATGCATCTTCTTGATGCCATTTAATGAAATTCCCTTACTTCATCAAAAAGTGTCAGACAAATGAACTGTACATTATCTAGAAGCAAAACTGAAATTCCTTTGAAGATTATGCAACAGGAGAAATCTTTTACAATATCTTCTCTGTATACACTAGTTTTTGATCCATCTTTCTTGTCCTCATAATAGGTAATTTGTTCTCAGAGCCCTAATCCGTGATTTCATCTGTTCGTTTTTGAAGCAATGGTCTTTATTGCTTCATCATCAACCTTCATGATGTTTGTGAAGCATTTTCCCTGACTAATTATGGTTATACATTTGTTTTTGACTCTCATTAATAGAAACTATGTAGTGGCCAAGCATAGGGCATGCTTACTTTGTCAATTTTGCCCAAGATTTATCCATCTTGGGTTTGTAGGTAGAGTCAAAGGCTGTTCTCGGGGGATAAGGGGAAGTTAATACTTTTAGCTAAACAAAATCATTGTGCTAATAAAACCTCTGGCCGGAAGAAAGCTCCTATTTTCCTCTGCTAATTTGATCATTGGCTGGTGTGGTCCATGGGACTGGAAAGGCAAATTAGGAAAGTCAATTTTTTTCTAGAATTAGTGCAAAATATCCTCAGAAGCATGTAACTGAATTGCTTCTCATATGTCTGTCTCTCTCGTAGATTGTGACTAGTGGGGTTAAGTCCATCTTCAACAACCTCGTCACAGTAATTGACTTGATGGAGAATATTCTGCTATCTTTTCTTTACCCTAATGAAAAGAATTAATAACTAAAGCACATAGAACCGGTAGAAGGATGATATGAATGTTGAGGGTCTTAAAACTTGTTGATTTGCTATGGCAGAAGAACTATATAGGAATTGAAGGCAGTGGTTTCAGGAGTAAAAGGAAAGAAAGACAGTTGTTTCTGAAATATCAGTACTGGGACTGGTTTAAAAAGTGTCTATGAATAAAATCAATGTGGATTAATGATATCTTTGTCTTACGAGGTCCTATATCGCGATCCTTTACAAATTCGAATTTCTTTTCCTGATTTCTTCAAGATGTATGGGTACCCCTTTTTAAAATGATGAAGCTATGTTATAATTTTTCTTTATTTCCAGTTTTTCCTTGAAGCACAATAGAGATACCTAGGATAGAATTGAAGTTGAGCTATTGTTTTTTGTCCCTTTTCTGTTCTTTTTGCAGATTAAAAGGGATGGCATCACAAAGCTTGTTGTGCTCCCTCTTTATCCACAGTTTTCAATATCTACTAGTGGTTCAAGCCTTCGCCTTTTAGAGAGTATATTTCGGTAATAAACATACTTATATTCTCGCCTGTAGAATACATTCCATTTGCAATTGTCATAATAATATATGTAGCAATGAGTATTTTCTTTAGGGAGGATGAGTATCTTGTTAACATGCAACACACAGTAATACCCTCATGGTATCAACGGGAAGGATATATCAAAGCGATGGCAGATTTGATGGAAAAAGAGCTGAAAAGTTTTGAACGTCCTGAGGAGGTAGTATCATCTCTATTTTTCACTGGCTCATGCTATACTTACCTCGTGAAAAGAGTGTTCAATTTCCTTAAAATGTCCCCATCTTTCCTTATAGTATTTATATACGCGAGGCAGCAAAGTATTTGTGCATTTGTATTTTTGCTTTGATTACTTAAAAGTCGAAAAATTCTTGCAAAGTATTTTGTTTATAACTACATCTGGCTGCCTTAACAGTTTTGCTTTCTTCTGTAATAAATGCTTACAGATTTTTGCCATGATATTGTGATACTCTTGATTTAGTGTATCATTGTCCCTGAAGTCTTCTGCTTGGAGATCTTCTCTTGAAGCTATATAGAGTTGGTTATGGCAGAAAAAAAGTGTCATGGAAAGATCTCTGTGCGGTTGAAGAGATTAAGGATCAAAAACAAAAAAGAAAAATGGTGGCACTCTAGACCAAATATATCTCTAGATTTGACGGCATTCTGTTCCTTCCCCCCAAGGCCCCAACATGTCTTATTTATGAAATAATGTCTGATATCTTATAATAAAATAAAAGCAGGGTCTTCTAAAGTAGTATGATATCCCTCTATGCTTACTTCTTTCCTTCCTTATTAACTAGCTTCATATACACAGGTGATGATATTCTTCAGTGCTCATGGGGTACCACTTGCATATGTAGAGGAAGCAGGTGATCCATACAAGGCTGAAATGGAGGAATGTGTGGACTTAATAATGGAAGAACTTGAGAAGAGAAGGGTACATAACGCATATACTTTGGCCTATCAGGTACGTTTGCAGATCTATTAGCGTACTTAAATTTTATGATTAATAATTTTAAAACTTACTTGCATAGGCAACATTGTCTATGTTTATGCATTAAATCATTCTTGAAATGAAGACTCTAGTTGATTGCACATTTTGTTTTTGGGCTCATAATTCAATCATGTATAAGAAAGCTCTGAGTTCAGTTGGTGCACAATTAAAGACAGCTATTCCGTCCCTCTCCCTCACTACTTGAATGTGGTGTTTTCTATGAGCAAGATTCCCATGTACCAGTTCCCCAACCCTATTTGCTTTTCAAAAATGGAAATGATAATGTATCACCTCATTACAAGCATGGTTTGCAAATATTTCTTCATTGCACTCTTCAATATTGTAAGTTCATAAGACAGCTAAATTATATGGTAAACTCGAGGCTAACATATTAAAGCACTCCAGCTTACTTTGAAAAGGTGGTACATGCCTAACTATTGTTAGGAAGGTGAAAGTGCTTTTTTTCTTTTGTCCACGCTTTTTCAACAACAATAGGTGAGAGGACTAATTGCTATCTAGTGAAGTATTACAATGTACCAAATGAACTTACTAGTTGCTGACAAGGTAAAAAGCAAGTTTAATAATCAGAATAATTGCATTACAAATATTGTTAGCTAATATAGAGCGTGAGACACGAGTACTGAACACTTTCATGTTCTAAGCATAACACCTCTATGTATGAAAGGTACTGTAGCCTTTCATTGATGTCAGTTTTGTGAACTTGGAGGGGCTCTAATATATGTGGTGTTATCTGTCCCCATTGGAAAAGAAAGATTATTTGGTGCTTCTCTTATTACTGATTAATACCTTTTAAAGGGTACGATGGTGCTTGTTTATGATGCTATTGTCAAGTGATACACTATTAGATTAGACAGATAGTTGAGGCTCCCCGCATTTTGAGGGTCATGTCATCATGTGCTCATTTGCTAGCACATAACATATAGCTTTTATAACATTGCTTCTCCTACTTGCTTGGGTGATGGAGTCCGCGGTCAAGTAATGTTCATCCTATCTGCCACTGATAAGTTATTTTCTTGGAGGAACACAAAGAAAATCTTCACCGGTGGCATTTCAAATAAATGGCTTCCTGACTGATGTGCTTTACTGTGATTCTGCATGCATCGAGATGCACCTTTTTTTTTCCCACTTAGACTGTCATGATTGAGTTCTGTAAATACCGTTTAGTTGGCCATTCCATGAAGTTATTTTGCTCTGATGCAGAGTAGGGTTGGACCTGTTGAATGGCTGAAACCATATACTGATGAGACAATAATTGAGCTTGGGAAGAAAGGGGTTAAGAGTATTCTTGCCGTGCCAATAAGGTAAGCAAAGTTGGCTTTTTAGGCAGTATAATTGATGATGCTTAGTCTCTTGATTTTCATTTTAATTGACTGTGTTTTCTAATTTTAAATGCTATCACAGTTTTGTAAGTGAGCATATTGAGACATTAGAAGAAATTGATGTTGAATACAAGGAGCTAGCATTGGAGTCTGGAATACAGAATTGGGCACGTGTTCCTGCCCTAGGTGTTGAACCCACTTTCATCTCAGATTTGGCAGATGCAGTGATTGAAAGTCTTCCATATGTTGGAGCAATGGCAGTCTCAAATCTTGAAGCTCGTCAGGTGCTTTTTAACTCCAAAGCTGTGATTAAGAAATTATTAAGATTTCTGATACCGCAGGGATTATGTTTTTCTTAAAAACTCAATTCCTAAACCAAGATGGAATCCAATACATGAACAAGAACAGGAACAGTGAATGAAATAAAGAACAAGAAGAAATCAAGATAAAGAACCAAAGGAAGAAACACAAGACCCAGAGAACAATGAATACAGTACACAAGAAACACGAAATCAGATTCCGAGATATTTCAAGATCTAGCAAAAAACATCAAGAAAAGGGATCTTGACCCTAAATTGAGAAATTAATGGCAATGAAGTGTATAAAAACACGACGACTCCAATAAATTACCAATTAAGAACCTAAGATATCAAGAAACAAGAAGGAAACCAGATTACCTCAAGGATAATCACTCACTTGAATGGATAGTCTATAGAGTTTTTCAGGAACCATTAGGGTTTCTTAAGTCTCATCAAAGGGAACGCCTTTAGTCATTCAAACACTTCATAATCTGCTGCCCTTCACGTTTTAGAGGCTACTTATAACATAGGAAAAGCCTAGGCCTTTCTGAATCTGGCCCACAGGCCTAAACTAGTGAAATCAGCCAACAAAATTTAAAATAAACTACATGTGCCACTTATTAATTAAGTGTAATAAATAAAACTAAGTGTAAAAACATCCAAATAAGGTAATGTTTGTCTTGCTGATGGTCCAGCATCAACTAGGTATGTTTGTCATGCTGATGGTCCAGCATCAACTAGGCTAGCCGGCAACTTGTAAAGGGGGCTTCTCCGAGCTGTTAAGTGTTGTTTTTTGTCTTCCTCTCTTCTAACTGCACAAGTTGGACTTCAAATTTGTTGAATGCTTGTGGAATCCCTCTAAATCCTTCAACTCTTTCCCCATTACTAGGCATTTCTTGATCTTCACTTCAAAGCCTTGGAGCCTCTCTTGATGTTTTCTTGTTTGTGACCTTGTCATTAGTCTTCTATTAGTTCCAAGGACTGGTCCTTGGTTTCGAGTGTTGATTGGCTTCCTTGGATGCTATCAATTCCTGCTTTGTAGATGGAGCCTGTGGGCTAAAATATGGAAGCCCGATGTGAATTTGACACGACATAGGAGAAGCCGCCCTTTATCAAAAATTATATTATTATATTATTTTTAATAATAAAAGGGGAAAGGTAGATTAGCCCCTGATTTCACCCTTTTTGATTTAAAGCTACTTGCGCCCTATTGTTCATTGGTCCAATTCTTTATCTAAAGTGAAGGAAGGGCTCTTCCAAACATCTGATCATCTACCGACGACATAGACACTAAGCAGTGTAACTTAGTCTGATGGAATGTGAAAAGGTCCATCCCAGTCTCGCAGGAAATCCACAACTTTTTACTCTGCCATACATTTCCCACTAGGCCGTTTCTTTCTACTTGAGCTAAAAGACATGAAGGGAAAAATGATTTCTTATTTTCTGCTGCTCTTAACAGTTATTGTCCTCTTTTGGAATAAGCTACACATGTTTTATTCATTAACTATTTTCTGAGAATTTATACTTCAGTGTAGCTTTTTTTTTGGGGTAGGAACAGTGGTGGTTTCACACTTTATTTCCCCCCTTTTTTTGTGTGTTTTAAGAGTATAACAATGTACCTTTTTGACAGCATTGCTTTTCTATTTTTGATATGGTGTCCGAGTTAGTTTGCATGCACCTTGATTATTTCACCGGGTACTGGCTACTTCCCACCAACTTAGTTACAGGGTAACTTTGCCCACTAACGCTTAGACAGATCGGAAGAGATCACCTAGTGTTTGTGAGAAATAATATACGGGAAAAAAATTCTATTAGTGATGTACTCTAACTATAATTCAAGTACCCCTATTTATAACAATAACAATACCTACACTATTCCTATTCCATGTAGGACTATACTTATTTACATAACAACTACTCCCTCTGTTTCAATTTAGATGACACACTTTTCTTATTAGTCTATTCCAAAAAGAATGACACATTTCTACAATTGAAAATAATTTTACTTTAAACTCTTTATTTTACCCATTTTACCCTTAATGAGAAGCTTTTATAACCACATAAATGTCATGGCCCCATAAAGTTTTTACCCCTTAAAATTTTAAGATCACAAGTTTCAAAAGTCTTCTTTTCTTTTTTTTAAACTCCGTGCCAAGTCAAACTACCTCATCTAAATTGAAATAGGGGGAGTAACTAATACTCCCCCTCAAGCCGGTGCATTCAAGTCATATATACTGAGCTTATTACATATATAACTAATACGAGGACCATTGAGGGACTTGGTGAAAATATCTGCAAGCTGATCATTCGACTTCATAAACTTTGTAGCAATATCTCATGAGAGTATCTTTTCTCTGACGAAGTGACAGTCAATCTCAATGTGTTTAGTTCTCTCATGGAACACCGGATTTGATGCAATACGAAGAGCATCTTGATTATCGCACACAAGTTCCATCTGGCTAATTTCACCATCAACTCCTTGAGCAATTGTTTGATCCAAACTAGCTCACATATTGCCATAGCCATTGCTCGATATTCTGCTTATGCACTAGACTGAGCAACTACATTCTGTTTCTTACTTTTCCAAGGCACCAAATTGCCTCATACTAAAACACAATATCGAAACGTAGAACGTCTATCAAAAGGTGATCCTGCCCAATCAACATCTGAGTATCCAAAAACTGACTAACAACACTCACATGAAAGAGGAAATGTCAGGTCTAGTCACTATAAGATAATTTAATTTATCAACCAGCCGCCTATATCTTGCAGGATCGCTAAGCGGCTCCCCCTATCTTGGCAAAAGTTTAGAATTCGGATCCATTGGAGTGTCAACAGGTCTACAGCCTGTCATTCATGTCAACTCAAGAATGTTTACGGCTTACTTCCGTTGTGAGATCACAATACCTGAGCTAGACTAAGTGACCTCAATACCTAGAAAATACTTTAATCTACCCGATCCTTAGTCTGAAAGTGTTGAAAGAGATGTTGCTTCAATTTAATAATACCATCCTGATCGTTGCCGGTAATAACAATATCGTCAACATAGACCACTAGATAAATACAGAGACTTGAAGCAGAATGCCGATAAAACACGGAGTGATCAGCTTCACTCCGAGTCATGCCAAACTCCTGGATAACTGTGCTAAACTTACCAAACCAGGCTCGAGGAGACTGATTTAGACCATAAAGTGACTGGCGCAAGCGATGTACAAGGCCACGAGACTCCCCCGAGCAAGAAAACCAGGTGGTTGCTCCATATAAACATCATCCTCATGGTCACCGTGAAGAAAAATATTCTTAATGTCCAGCTGATAGAGAGGCCAATGGCGAATAACAACCATGGATAGAAAAAGGCAGACTGATGCTATTTTAGCCATGGGAGAGAAAGTATCACTGTAATCAAGCCCAAATATCTGAGTCTATCCTTTGCCAACAAGACGGGCATTAAGTCGAACAACCTGGCTATTCGGACAACTTTGACCGCATAAACCCAACGACACCAACAATAGATTTACTTGAAGGAGAAGAACAAGCTCCCAAGTACCACTCGTATGTAAAGCAGACATCTCGTCAATCAATGCCTGTCGCCCGATTCCATGACCCATGGTCCAAGAGTACTAGACTGGAAACACATACAAAAGAATTACCAACAATAGAAGTATCAATCCAAGCAACTGAGGCTACTTGTGGAGATGAAGAACTCATTATATTCCCCTTCAGATAAACAAAATCCCTGGTTACTTGTAGTCTCGGTCTGAGCAACATAAGCATTTTTAGGTGACCGACCATGTAAAGAGTAGCACACTTCACGAGTGGCTCCAAGTTTATTACAATAAGAACACATGGGTCTAGATCTTCCAAAATGACCTCCTCGTCTATTCTCTATAGTTTGATATGCCCGATTTTCCACTGTTTGGGATGCGAGAACAGAGGAGTCAAGTGTCTGTGATGAGATCATTGGGTGACTTGGTGCTGCAGCATGGCAAAGTATTCGAGAGAATAATTCATCAACTGTAGGGATAGTCGGACAAGCCAAAATCTTGTCACACACTGAATCAAGGTCATTAGGAAGTCCATCGAATTTAAGAACTAGAAACATGTTTTGTCGTTGCTCTTGTTGCTTTTCAACACTAGCAGAAACTGACATCAACTTCTCAAACTCCTCCGTGATTGCCTTTAGTTGTCCCAAGTACGTTGACATATTCAATTCCTGTTTCTTCAAATTCGTCATCCGCGATATCACATCATAGAAACGAGATATGTCATTAGTGTATAATGTACCAGCCTTTTCCCAAACTAAATGACATGCTTGGAATGGACGAAACAAAGGTATCAATTTGGAATCAATAGATCGTCACAAGATACTACATAACTGAGCATCGATCTTTTCCCATTGTGCTTTAGTTTTTTCATCTTCCTCACTAGCCTTTTTGGTTAAGTGATATGAACACCTTGACCTTTATACCACAACTCCGCAGACGAAGCCCAAGATAAATAATTTAAACTTCCAAGTAGGGGTTCGGAGTAATCATAAAGGCTGAATTTCCAACTCCAATGTTTTTTGAACCAAAAACATCAAGTCCGAGAGACATGATTGGATCAAATAATTACAAAGTCACTAAATTGGTAGCAAAGTTGGTCCAAAATTGTGTTAGGTCACACAAACAATCAAGAAGCAGCAAAAAAAATACACTATAGCTGCCAGAAACTGGAACAGTCGTTGGAATCTGCCAATAGTCCCCGAAAAATAAAAGAGTTGTCGGAATGTGATGAAAGAATACAACCTTGCAAACAATCAAATCGGATGTTGGCCATGAAAGATGATATGGAAAGTCAAAATTCCATACAAGGTCGCTTGCTTCACATGGTTATTGGCAAAAGGTGCAGTCCTAACACAAGATAACAAAAAGAGGAATTCAACTGTGCTCTAGGTGTTACTTGTGTGGGGAGCAGGCAGAGACAATTAATCATCTTTTTTTGCATTGCAAGTTCACTATTCAGATATGGAGGATCTTCATTAGTCTAAGGGGAATCCCATGGGTAATGCCGGGAAGAATCGTTGATATTCTAACTAGCTGGAATAAAGAGGGACTTCTTTCGAGAGATAAAGAGAGATGGAGAATTGTCCCAGCTTGTATTTGGTGGTCAGTATGGGAAGAGAGAAATCAAAGATGCTTTGAAGGAAAGTGCAACAACGTCCAGAAGATAAAGATGAAATGTCTAGCTTTGTTTTATTTTGGTGTAAAGGAAAACTTTTGGAGGAACATGAATCCATCTTAGATGCCCTAGGCTCATTGTAAGAAGAACTAGGAGGAGTAGTGTCCTTTTTGGTGTGTAGTTTTGTATGGACACTTAACACTGTAATTATGGGTGACTTCACATTTTCAGTGAAGTCTTTATATTAATATACAAATTGTTACCCTTTCAAAAAAAAAATGTGATGAAACTTGAATGGGTAGAGTCAGAATTAGTAGACGAAGCAACTGTCCTGGAGGAACTTTTTAAAAAAATGGCTAGAAGGGGTCGTACTCGCTTGCACGTGGGCTCATGTGCTCGCCGGAACCCTGGCTTCTGCCGGCACGTGAGGGCGCGTGAGGCTGCTTCTGCTGGAGAGGTTGACTGGGGTTTGGTTGCCGGACGATGGCGGATCTTGTGGTAGTGTTGGATTTTGCGCAGCACTGACAGAGAGAAATGACGCAATACAGCCGTGAAAAGTCGCCAGAAAATTGAGGCACTGTGACTTTCTGCTGTATTCTGGTACCCGGATGTCTCACCACCATGACTTTGATACCATATGAGAAATAATACACGAAAAAATATTCTATTATTGATGTACCCTAACTATAATACAAGTACCCCTATTTATAACGATACACAGTACCTACACCACTCCTATTCCATGTAGGACTATGCTTATGTAAATAACAACTAACTAACTAATAATGTTTTTTGCCTCGGCTGGAATTTGAATCATAACCTCATGGTTCTCATCCCACTTCATTGACCAGTAGGCCACACCCTTGGTTGCTGACAACATTACTTTTCTGCGGTGTGATAATTTCTAGCTTCTGCTTGGGTTTAAGTGGCTGCCCCTCACCCTTTGATAGGGAACTAAAACAAAAAATAAAAAATTTCTGCTGGGCACTATATAACAAACCCTACCAAGATTGATGTGCGAGGGAAAATTTCCGCACAAGTAGGGTCAAAATAGGCATAGTAAAGTCTACTATTTTTAGATGTTTTCCTTGATCCCATTTGATATAGGGTAAAGTGGGATTATGATGGATGATCTCTCTTTACACGGCTTGAAATCTGACATTGATATTTCTTGCTCTAAATGCTGCAAAAGTAATTTAAGGCTGATGAATTGTCTAAATACTGAAAGTTTAAACAAAACGTAAGCCCTGAAGGTTTATCAACTTCGTTAAGCTCTATAAGATTAATTTTCTCTAAACCTACAAGTGCAAATCTTATTGGGAGGTTTAGCGACCTGCCAATTTATCTGAAATTCTAGGGTAAGGGGAGCTCTTTTGCTAGGGGTCATGGTGCTCGGTTGAATCCAACAAGTTCTGTCAAATTTAAATCTACCTGCGAACTCTATCCATCTGGTTGTATGTGAATGGTAATGGTGGGTCTTCCAAGCCTAGTCAACTATTGGTTGAGATACAACTCATCTGCCCAAGTCTATATCGGTTGCGTTGAGGCAAGAAAAATAAAAAGCAAATAGTACGTTCATCTGTGAGAGAGGGAGAGAGAAGAGAGTCAGAGACAGAAACAGTTATGAAGCTGTTAATGTCTGACGTGGTGAACCTGTGTTGCTTGAAGGGATCTTCTGTGTTTATCTGAACATGTTTGACAATGAATTTGAGTTAGTTTGTTTGCTGATGGCTATTTTTAAATGTGGTTTCTATATGAGCTAGATATGTCAAGATATAAGGGTTTATACAATACCTATCTGCTGTTTAAATGACCCTCCTACTTTAGGTCCTCAATGTTGAAAGGTTGCAAGTTCTTTGATACACTACATTCACATTGATAAATTCATATGAACACCACTTGACAAGGATGGATAATTCCAACTTTGGGTGATCAGGATCTACACTTTAGAGACCTTTATTTCATAAATGGTCCGTGGTCTGGGAATTCCATATCTTCAGTCTGAGCAAAGCATAATTCATTCTCATTTTGAGTTATGGCAGAACTTTTTCTGCTTGGCCAAGGTATCATTGATTTTCCAGCTTTGTCAGGCAGCATCTACACTTCTGAGTCCTTTATTTCATAGATCGTCCCTGGTTTGACAATTCTGTTTCTTCAGTCTTGTCAAAGTTCAATTCATTCTCATTTTGAGTTAAAACAACAACTATTATTCTGCTAGTCTAAAATATGGTCGACTGTGAATTATATTAAGTAATAGGATATATGGGGAGGGATACTGCAAATATTTATTTACTTGCGATTTATTGGTATTACTTCCCAAATGGCTAGACTTCATTTCTTCTTAGTTGATCAGTAGAAAGTGAGGCTCTACTTGTCAAGTACATTGGTTTCATTATGAGATCAGCAACCAGATCTTTTACACTTCTATGTACCAAGTGAAGGATTTGAACAACTTACTCAGCCGTAGGAGATTGATCAACTAACACATTCCATTGACTTGTTGGGACAGAGGTGAGTGTTCAGCTGTGCTCAAGGTTTTGTAACACTTCCACCACCTTCCTAGTCAACTTGCATACTTCCAAGTTCTTTCATTGCATAACTGCAGCAAATCCATGGGCACCTTGCTTTTATGCTGCAACTGCAATATGATTGAAATAAAGGGAAAACTTTCCTCCCTTGTTTCATTTTTATGTGGATAAGAGTTTGAACAAAAAGTTCAATGCTTTCAAAGATCAGCGGCTAAACTGAACCTAATTCAAGCTGTTGGTGTTTATTTGCAGTCATTGGTTCCTCTTGGCAGCGTGGAAGAGCTATTGGCAGCATATGATTCACAGCGCAGGGAGCTGCCACCTCCTGTAACAGTCTGGGAATGGGGTTGGACAAAAAGTGCAGAAACGTGGAATGGAAGAGCAGCTATGTTGGCAGTTCTTGTGCTGCTGGTGCTAGAAGTTACAACTGGAGAAGGCTTCCTGCACCAGTGGGGTATATTGCCCTTATTCCGCTAGCCACATAGATCCTACTCTCTCCAGTTTCTTTGAAAAGAAAATCTCTTCCCTCCCATCCCTGCTGTCTCTTACACATGCATATACACATACACATACACTTAATGGTGGCTGCCTGTTGAGATGTTGAAAACGACACAAATTGGGAACAAATTAAGAAAGTTCTAAAATGTTAAAGTCATTGAGAATGAGCATCCACTCTTCTGTTACCATATATTTCTTCTTAGTCTTTGCAGCAAAAAAGCCTTCATTTCATTCTCATAAGGCCAGTGAGCAGGTTTGTGAGATACACAGTACGTTGGAATGAAGCAGGGTCCTGATAACAGAAAAGGGCAGGAAGGATCAAGGATAGTTCGACGATAAAGAGAATGAAAAAAAAGAGCAAGTTCATCTTCCAAGGTTTACCATCCTTTCACAACTTTCAGCATCTACAGACAACCTGTAAATTTTCCTCTTGCACGCCACCTTTCTGTCATATGAATCCCAAATCCATGTTGTAACAATTCTGTGTATCTGAGTGTTTGTATACAATGTTGAAATTAAATCCCTAAGAAGCAAGAACAATACAGTGGCAGATGTCTACATTTAATATTTCTGCCTAGTATGTGTAAAGCAACTGGAAAATAGCTTCCAATGTTGTGAATTTTGCCATGAAAGACTTTGATGCTGCATAGTATTGAATCTAAGTAATGTCCATAGTTACGCTGCTTTTTACATGGCTAACTCCAAGATATTGGAGTATGTAGGGATGGCAATGGGGGCGGGAGGTTGAATTTTTTTTTTTTGTAATAATAGCGGGGGTTGAACACTCTTTGGACCTGTAATTTGAAAAATAGCCAACATTTACAAAGTAGTTGAAAAATCGTCACATTTTAATGCTTAAATAAAACTTGGACAAAGATACCCTTAGATAAAACACGTAAAAACTTAAACACATTGTGATGGAGTGGGAAATTCTTACTAGTGAAACTCTACATGATATGCTGGAGTTCAAAACCCCGCAGATGTGAAAATGTTGATCAATTCTTACTGTGAAGAAGTTCAAATTTTTCTCAAGCTATTCTCTTTTAAATTACACGGTCGGTGCTCCTTCCTCTTTGCCGTTGGATTTTCATCCTAGGTAATTAGTCGTTACTTAGCTACTTCAGTAATGACGATGTGAGCTGATTGGATTTTTTGGTATGTTTTGAAAATTTTATGGTTCTCGTTTTACCTATTGAAGGAGAATCATGTGTTTCAACCCAGGTGTTAGTTTTTCAGTTTCTTGCATAATTGGTATCAGTTCCAAATCATAGTTAGCTTTCTAAATCCCTTTCTCTTTTTCTTTTTCACCGACAAAAGCTTTAGTATTATATTAGTATACTAGTAATTTTGCTCGCGCTTTAAGTCATAGTAAATTTATAAAAAGAAATTACTACTTAAAATGATAAAATAAAGCTTATAAACAAATATCTGAAAATTCAAATAGAGGGAAGAGAAATAGAAAAAAGTACTCAACTTTTGTTCATGGGAAACATTAACTGTCATACTTGTATGGTTAAGTGTCTGAATAAAATATAAATAACGGATATATAAGTATTTACCTTCCTTTGATAACCATTTAAAATTTCAATAACATAACTCTATTCTTTCTAATTATATCGTGTGAAAATAAATTGTAAATAATGTTGACTTTTCATCTTGTAATAATTCAAAATACACCGAATGCTAAAGTGAAGATACAAAAATCTGGCAAATTCATAAAAGGAATAAACACTTGTATATAATCTTTCTTCCCTGAGAGTGAGTAGCTTTATATCTGGCGGTGAAGAGTATAAAACAATGGAAAAGACTCCATTTCAAAAAACTATACTTCTAGAAGGTCGAAGTATAGTTACTACAAAACTATACAACAAAACTTTGAACAATAAAACCAAATTAGAGAATCCAACCGTTCATGCATCGAACAGTTTTGCGTTCTCTCTCTCTCTTTCTGAGTACACTTTGCAGGGGAGGAAATAAACAATAGTCTGCAAGAAAGTAAAACAAATCAACTTGGTAGAGCCAAATAAATACTCCTTATGTACCAATTTATGTGGCACTATTCACTTTTCGAGATTTATACTACTTAATTTTAATCTTGTATTTGGACGTCGAATCTTTAGGTTTTTCAAAATTAAATTGACATATTTGAAATTTACGTAAAAAGTACAAGTCACAATAATTAATAACCTAAATATTTAAAAGACATACTAAAAAATACAGTTAAAAAATAATTCGCTCGACTCTTGAACTTCAAACATCGTCATATAAATTGGAACTAAGGGAGTAATAAGAGTAGAACCTTATAAATCCTAATCTGAAAGCAATATTACTCGAAAACGATGGGAACAATATAATTTTCGGACTTCTCAAAGGCCTTATCAATAATTTCAAGAGGCACAACATTTTTTAGCTCCACAATCTCAAAGGCCTCTACTACTTTCACCTTTACAGATACAGAAAAACAAAACGGGAAAACCACCAACTTTCATCACAATCGCAATAAACCACCTACAAATAAAGACTAATGAAAATTAGACATTTCATGAATAGTCACTGTTGCGATTGATTGAACTATTGATTCATTCAATTTAGCATTCAATGACATCACAATCTGATGCCTTTGAACGGAAGCTGAGAACGATCCAGTTACAGAGAAGCACACCTAATAGCGACATCGCCAAAGGAAAAGATAAGTTCAAATAATGCGAGGAAGAACTCTCCTCATCTACCATCAAACCAGAATGAATAAAAACTGAATGAAGCCATATGCAGCTCTCCTTTAACATTCAACATCGAAGAAAGAAGAGAATTAAACTATAGGCACGAATGGCTTCCTGGCTACTTAAACTTGACGTGGTTTTAAAGGCCGATACATAAACTTTCAACTTTTTCATTTGAACACTCGAACTCATTTTTCCCGTAATTAATAAACACATTTGACCATTGACCATGCCTATGTGGCGTCAGTTGGGCCTAATCAGCAGGCCGCGTGAGGAACACGACGCACAGGAGCGTGAAAGCCCCCTTCCCAACGCCCAACAGTACAAAATGAGTTGTATTTAAGTGTCTTCTTATTCATTCCTTCTAAAATACCTTCTTCCTCCATTTTTTAAAATTTGAAGCTCCATTCCTCCTTGTAAAATCTGAACCTCCATTTTTAATTTTTTTTTAAATTTTTTTCAGACAGTGAAAAAGATGGAAAGTCGTATATTTTGTCATTGTGGATTTGAATCTAAGTTTTGCGTCAGTTGGACCAAACGAAACTCGATCAGAACAAGATTAACAGATATTAAACGAAAAAAAAATGGGTGAGTGATTATGATCGATTTTGGAAGGGGGTGAGTGATTATGATCGATTTTGGAAGTTTATCCAGCACCGCTGACCTCACGCCATCTCCACCACCATAAACAAGTCCTTTTTGAATGTTGGAGCGAGAAGACTTAGAGAGCGAGTGGCCAATACGTAAAGGTATCATATTTTTGGTAATTCTCGTAACATGAAATGAACAATTTCAAAACCCTAGAAATTGATTCTGAAACGGGTACTTAGAAGCCAAATGAAAATGTCACTGAAAATGTTAAAAAAAGCTATAATTTGAACAAATTTATAGGATCTTTTGTTTTTTTCTTTCTTTTTTTTGTGAATTACACTAGGCTATGGCATTTGGAGCTATATTTTAGGTCGGATAATTTGCAGATTTTGCGTGAATAGAGGAATACGGAACATGGAGAACCAGGAATGAATAGGGAGGGTTTGGTCAGAGAGAGGTTAAAATGACGGGGGCTCTATGAAATAAAAGAGGGGACCCCGATAAGGTTGAGTTAGGATTTCCACATCCTTGACATGTAAGACATCTATTGGTCATTTGCTGACTGGATGGACACGTATGTGTATTTGTAATACACGCGTGCATGGTCTCTTGTCAGATGTATTTATTAGTTACGGGAAAAATGAGTACGAGTGTTCAAATGGGAAAGTAAAAAGTTTATGTATCGGTTTTTAAAAATCCGACAAGTTTGAGTGGCCAGGAAGCCATTCTGCCTAAACTATATAAATATTTCATAGCAGAATGTTGTCCTTTGATCAATTTGGATTTCCATTGAGAGGTCCTAAAAAAGAAACTAAAAAAGACATTATTGATGAGGAGACCTTTAATGAATGCGACTGTGTTCCATGACCATCAGGCACCAAAAGTAAAAGCATGGTCACAAATCTTTTGGAGGAGATGGCTACTGCCAATAAGGAACAGGAGAAGATGAAAAAGGAAATTGTGTCACTGAAAGAGGAAAATAGGAGGCTGAAGGATGAGATGAAGAAAGAGCAGGAGGGCTCTGTTGCTAGGTTTGAAAGGCTTCTGGGGCTAATTCATGGTGGATCCTCTTCTAGTAAAGAACCCTGTCCTCAGTCCACTTAGGTTTCCTAGTTTCTCTTTAGTTAGTCGCTAGTCCTGCCCCTTCAATGACCAGTTTATGGGTTTCTTTATTGTGTTTTGATGTTGTTGGTAGTTTGACGGGTTTGTTCAAACGTCTTTTGGTTTGGGCCTTTTGGGCTTAATGTAGTACAATGACTAATAAATACAATTCCTTATTTTGGGCGGCATATACTGTGTGGACAATTTTGTCGGATTAACTATCTTTTTCTGATCATATGTACATGTTAGTGTAGCCCTAGTAGCCATGAGTTTTAAATTTCTATATTCTCTCGTTGACTTTACTGACTTTATATTTTTTCGATGCTGCCAAAGGGGAAAGTTAAGAATGTGCATATTCACCAATTAGAAAAACCTGGTTCTTTCTTAAGTGCTTTGTCACGATCCAAATTCTACCAAGTGGACGTGATGACACCTAACCTTCAAGACTAGGTAGTCCAAATCTCATTAACAAATTTAAATCATCCAAACAGGATATAATAAGACCGGATTAACATAAACATCAGAAATAGTGATAACACGAGTTAGAAATGGCAATGCACAATACAATTCCCCAAAACCAGGTAATACAGAGTCACGAACTCTAAACAGTAAACATAAAGAAGTCTCAAATACAATATTGTCTGAGAAGTAATAGTATCAACATAAAGGATGAGACTCTAAGGGACTGCGACAGCCATGCAGCACTACCTTGAATCCTCGCGAGCAGCGTATGCACTCACTCTCGAAATCTGCTACTTTCAACACCCGAATTTGCACAAAAATATACAAAAGTATAGTATGAGTACACCACAATCGGTATCTAGTAAGTATCAAGACTAACCTCGATGAAGTAGTGATGAGGTTCAAGTCATGTGATAATCACTAGTCAAAGAACATGTATAATATATTAATAACTGGCAACAAGAATGTCTAACAAAGTACAATACCATCAATCTCATTAAAGCAAGTGATAACGACTCAACATAAGAAAACCCATTTTCGACAACCAAATCATCAAGTAAAAAAATAGACGCATATGATAGCATGTCAAATACGACAAGGTTTAAAGAATACATGTGCATGATCAAGAATGTCACCCTCGTGCCCCACATATCATCACAATAACAATATCCACCCTCATGCTCCATACCCCGACACTATCAATATCTACCATTATGATCAATACCCTCGATACAATAACAATATCCATCCTTATTGCTAAGTTATGCGTCTTTTGTTTTGATGATTTG